ATCTTTATTGGAAGCTTTTATGTCTGTTGATCATGAACTTAAGCATCCCGGCAGATTCAATCTTTCGTGGTTCCTTCTTACGAGGTACTGAACACAATGTAATAATACTACGCGAACATGATTGATTCAATGATTACACGACTTGAAGCACTTAGTTGTTTTCACATTTGTTGTTGTTGTTGTTGTTATCACACAGGACAGGGATGTGAGCTAAGCAGGAGGCGGGAGGGTAGTGAACCATTTCGAGCGGGAGGAGTGAAAGAGCTCTCTCTCTGACAACCACGTATATTACTACTTTCTTCCTTGCTCATCATGAAACTCAGTGGTCGAGTGGACAGAGCACTCGACCGCCCGCTCGTAGATCTGGGATTGATACTCGATATTTCCTGTTTTATTTTTAAACTATTTAAACATCGAATCGTGATTGCACCGGAAGAAATAGATTTTCATTAGATTCCTTACCTTGCTTAGATAAATGTCAATGAATGCAATAAATAGATCCTAATGAATCGTAGAAAAGGTAAGATTACTTAGGATTGCAGTCTTTACTACGTGGCATCATTAATATGACCTAGCACCTTGATAAATTATTAAATTGAAGATGCCTCACAATATCGACAAGTCGATTCTAAATATATGCATTCATCATGTGTCGTGAAGAAATTTACGATGAAGTTTAGTGGTTTGTAATAAATGAATTGTAATAAATGGGATAAAATGGTATTTATGCATTATATCTGATAGCCGAGAGATAGGTGGCGCAACCACCTAAATACCGGCGCGAAGCGCCGGCTTAAGCGGGAAAATTTTTGTGCAATTCCTACACCACACCGCGAAGCAGAGGGGGATGAAGCCCCTCTATATGCCAGCGCTACGCCAGTACGTCACGACGTACTGTTCCGACGACGGTACTGCGCTGCGCGTAGGCTCCAAGATTCAAGAATTACCTTAGATTATCTCAATCATGTATTAATTTCCAGAAAATTGAATTTTCCTTCGAAAATCTCTTTTTCCAAAATAATCCCAATTCACTGAGGAATTGCCAGAGACAGGGAGAAAACTGAGGTCATACTTGAACTCAGAGCTGAATGTTACATGCGATTTGCTATCAAAGCACCACCTTTTTTCCGATGCATACCTGTGTAATCTTTCATATTCAACAGCCGACCAGTCTTGTTTCATTTTCAAAGTTCCCGTGCAAAAAAATTAATCCTGAATTATGTAACCTGCCAGCAAGTAGAAAAAAAATCAGTAGAACCTCATGCAATTTTAGCTCTCCAAAGGATGTCCCAAAAGTACTACACACTGCCCTATTTTGAGGAAACGGTAAGAGCTATCGACATGCGGTTTGAGCAAGCCTGTAAACTGAATCATTAGCTTAAAAACAAAACCACTGGCAGGTCTCTAACTTAAAAATTGTCAAAGTTATATCACTTCAAAGTTGACGATTAACAGTTAACCCTGACGTTTTTCCGGCACTTTTTTTAGTAAAGTTCTTTGACTTTCAGGGCATGATTTATCAACGTTTTGTCACGAAAAATGAGACCGTAAACAAAAAATATTACTGTACAGTCTTGCAGCAATTCCAGAGACATATCAGAGAACAGCGTCCAGAAATTCGAAAAACCTGGCTTCTGCATAAGGGTAATGCGCGATTGTACATGGCAAAGTTTGCGCGGTAGTTCATGGAGCAAAAGAGTATCCGCACACCTTGTACACCCCAGATCTGGCTCGGTGCGATTTTTCGCTGTTTCCAAAACTTAAAAAAAATTTAAGAGGCAGAAAATTTAACTCAATTGAAGAAATTCGGTCTGCTGTTCAATCTTTCTTTAAATCCATCCCTCAAGAAGAATTCAAGAAACCATTTCTTGTCAAGCGGAGAGAACAAAAGGAACTTTGCGTCAAAAGTGAAGTCAAATACGAAGGTCATCCAAAAAGTAAGTTTCCCTACCTTCTATCTTCCGAACGAAAAGAGATAAATTAAATCCGTAAAAAGGCACATATTAGACATCCTCTAAGCTTTAAAACAAATCCAAGTTTTTGAAAATTGCAATAGTGGACAAACCGGTGACCTCAATCACATTTTCTTTCAATGCCCTTTACTTCATTACGACACCTTCTTTCAAAATTTAATTAAGTTGAATTACCTTCCTCCATTTAATATCTCTTCTATTCTTCATAACCCGCGTCCGTCTATTTATAAAATAATTACAGACTTCTTAGATCTTAATAATATATGTTTATAAAAGCTGCTAGTGGTTATTCAAATCTCTCCTTTTGCAACTCTTCCTTCCCTTTAGTTTTTACCCTCTCCTGCCATTTAAATATACCTAGTCAACCTCTAATTCTGTTAAATCCTCTAAACCTATACATCGCTCCTAGTGTTCACTTGGCATGTTTTCCTAGACCCAGTCTATGGATAGGTTAGTCGCCACAGAAGGTCTTGTGGCGTGAAGATGGTGATGGTACCCCCAGACTTCCATTTTATTTATCCTTTCATAGGCCCCTACGCTTCCAACCCCTCTCCTTAACTTGCTAATTTCTCATTGATCACGATGTGTCTATAGATGGCTGTTGGCTACGCATAGGAGTATGAGGCTACAAAAGTCTCAAAGAAGAAGAAGAAGTTTTTGAAAATTGGTCAAGGGGTTCGCGAGAAAAGTTAATTTTATTGAGACAACCTCCTGTCGCCGCGTGCCCACCTCCCGGGTTAGGATGCGCCGAGAGTCGATTATTTCAGACTCGGGTATTCGCCTCTAAACATCACATCAAAAAGGAATTTGAAAGTTTTCATTGCGTAGGTCTTATCTTTCTTTTTGACGTAGGCTCCACATCTTTTTTGACATTTCTGGTATCATTACACCAGCTTTTTGATGCCATCCATGTAGAAGCTCTAGCCTTAGCTCCGAAACCAGTCATTGACAGCGATCTGTACCTCTGAATCGGTTGGCAATCGCTTTTCATTGTGGAAGTTTTTCCGCTCGGGAACAGATGAAAGTCACATAAGGCTAAATTAAGAGAGTATGGAGGATTGGGGGAAAATTTCCCGACGCAAAGCAATTGATTTGGAAGTGCAGATCGCTGTCAATTACATGGTTTCGGAGCCAAGGTGAGAGCTTCTACGCAGAAGGCATCAAAAAGCTGGTGTAATGATACCAAAAATGTCAAAAAAGATGTGGAGCCTACATCAAAAAGAAAGGTAAGACCTACTCAATGAAAACTATTAAATTCCTTTTTGATGTGATGTTTAGAGGCAAATACCCGAGTCTGAAATGATCGACTCTCTGCGCATCCTGACCTGAGAGATGAGCACGAGGCGACAGGAGGTTGTCTTAATAAAATTAACTTTCCTCGCGAACCCCATGACCGATTTTCAAAAACTTGGATTTGTTTTAAAGCTTGAGTGCGCCTAATATGTGCCTTTTTACCGATTTAATTAATCTCTTTTTCTTCGGAAGATACAAGGTAGGGAAACTTACGTTTTGGATGACCCTCATACTTTGAAAAGGTCAATGTTGTTGACTTATATGACGAAGAGAATTAACTTTCCAAATTTCAGTAAGTTTTCTCGTTAACTTTTTTCAACAAACGGGTTTTCTTCTCTTTTAGCTTCTCTCATTTTCTTTCTTACTGGAAAAAACTCTGCCGGAAAAACGCCAGGATCAACTTTTACACATCAACTTTGAAGAGATACAACTTTGACAATTTTCAAGTTAGAGACCTGCACTTAGTCTCATTTTCAAGCTACGGATTCAATTTAGAGGCTTGTTTAAACCGCAAGTCGATAGCTCTTTCCGTTTTCTAAAAACAGGGCAGTGTGCAGTACTTTGGAGACACCCTTCATATTTTTGTGTGAAGGCGATGTTGTGCTGTCTCTTATAGTTTGCACCTACAGATGCTGGTGTCAAGGAGATTTTCTTGAAAAGGTAGAGGATCTGTCAATTATTCAAGTGTCTCCGTTTTCCTCGTTGGCATGAGATACGCCGAGGGAGCTAGAGCTGCCGGCATCTCCACGCCACGCTGCGCCTCGTCGCACAGTTTACATTGGAAATGACGCAGCCCAAATGGAAAACTAAATTCGTTGATAGTACATAATTATTGTATGTCATGAAAATTTCAGGCATATATAGAGGGTGACGGGGTGAGAAGGTTGAGATACTCGACGGTGCAGCAACCGGCGCGGCAGCGCGGTCTAGAGCCGTACTTATGCGTGTACAGTGAGGAAGCGTGCTATGACGCTCCTACGCGGCGGCCATTTTGAGGGTTAAGGAGTGCCTAGAGAAGAGAAAGCATAAGAAACTTTTATGCAGACTTTAATAAGGAGCATTTTTCCACGATACGCAACTCGCCATCTCCAACCGTTCTTGAGATATTGCCGGAAAATCGATTTTTTAGTCTTTTTGGGTGACAGGAGTTGAAGGAGGGGGGGACTAGGGGGCTAAGCACAAGGGATATAAATGGGGGCTTTTAACCTGTGCCTCTCTAGATCAGAACAAGCAACTTTATCCAAAAATCGCTTGCAAGTGAATTTTTCCCCCTAATCCAGGATATTTGATCTAATTTGACTGGACTAGAATATCACTGGAGACTAAACAGAATGACCAACCTTCCCTTTCATTCGCTTGCCACCGTGATTGGTTGCTGACGAGGTGTTGGAGCTTTTTTATGGTTTGCTTTTAAGGGAAAATCTGACTCTCATCTGTACTTGAATTTGGAGACTGATTTTTTTAAGGAAGATGAGAATAGAGCATAGGCGAACAAAGAACGGAGGGCGCCTAGTAAAAATTAGAAGCAGAAATTTTGTCACACCATTACTGCCGAAGTTAATATGCTTTTGCCACTTCTTCACGACAGAATTTCTGGCAATTTCCAGGTGGGTTGAGAGGATACAATTTTAAACTCTAGATTCTTCACTTAAAGTGGCAGTAACTTATTCTGGTAGGAGTAATATGAAGTGTTCTATTCCAAGATTAAAATTAATAGAGGAATTAATTTCGAACCTGAATCTTTTGATTGATAAACAACTCTTCCACGACCCGACGATCTCTTTCAATGAGACCAGCATGATGCAGACCAATCCCAAAAGCCAGGGTCAATTTAAGGTTTGAATCCTTGATGGTTTCAACAATCTGATCCATTTCCTAGATAAATGAAGAGGAAAAAATAATATGTTTACTGTGCATTAAAGAAATCGAATTAGACGGAAAAACATGGAAAAATAATCGAGAATACATGAATGCATACGTGCGTACCTCCGTTGTGTGTTAGTGTTGTTTTAGTTCATCTATGAAAAAATCCGATCAAATCACTTGATTTTGTACACTCTCAGCTTTGGTTCAAAACCTTGTGTTTTAAAATCTGAGTATAAAGATGCTGAGGGGGCTCATTTCTCTATTCCTTTGCCACCCTTTTCATCATCAGGTCTCGATGCAAAACAACTGTGCCTAGAAAATTGAGAAGGAATAGGCATTTGGGCAATAGAGAGAGGGTTTGTTGTTAAACATGTATGCAAAAATTTTGACAGGAAAAAATTACTTTTTGATTTCATCTCCATCAAGTCTTAAATATACTTACATAGGGTGTCCCAAAAGTATCGGGACTGGTTCTGTAACTTTGAAAGTACGATAGATACAGACATGATCTTGGTCTCATTTTAAAGATCAACTCAATACCTATCGATAAGACCAAGATCAGCTCAATCGGATAAAAATTGACTGAGTTATGGCAATTTAAAATCAGTGAGGAAAGTTTACCCCTACAGTTTATAAGGAAGATTCTTCATCGCCGTAAATCGAAAAATCGGCCTGTAAAGTGAAGCTTATTGTGTTTTTTGATTTTCGAGGTGTCATTTATCAACATTTTGTACCATCAAACACAACAGTTGACAGTGCGTATTGTTGCAAAGTTCTAAAGGAGTTAAGAATGCACATCTCCCGGAAACGGCCAGACTTGAAAGCTTCATGGATACTTCATCAAGACAATACGCGGCCTCACACATCCAGCTTAACACGTAAATTTATGAGTAAAAATGGAGTTGAAACCATCCCTCATCCCCCTTATAGCCCTGACTTGGCTCCATGTGATTTTTGGATGTTTCCTACGCTAAAAAAGGAGCTTCGCGGACAAAGATTCGAATCGAAGACCGAAATCCAGAATGCAGTTCAGAACTTTTTCAACGCCATCCCAGAGGAAAAATGCAGGAAAACAATGTTGGATAAGTGGCAAGAGCGCATGAAAAAGTGCATCCGGTTTGATGGACAGTACTTTGAAAAGCAAAAGGAAGTTATGGAAGATTCAGAGGAAAGCGGATACGAATATTAATTTTTTGAATCCTGGTAAGCGAAAAATCTTCCTAAAAAACCGTGGGGGTAAACTTTCCTCACTGATTTCAAATTGCCATAACTCGGTCAATTTTTATCTGATTGAGCTGATCTTGGTTTTAATCGATAGGTATTGAGTTGATCTTTAAAATGAAACCAAGATTATGTCTGTACCTATCTTACTTTCGAAGTTACAGAAGCAGTCCCGGTACTTTTGGGACACCCTATGTATAAGTATTGATATATCAAGTTGTGCAGCAGGTTTGCCAATTCCCTCTTGTAAAACTAAGATTGGTGATTGCTGAGGGTATTCAAGATGAAATTTTGAACCTCCTTGTCATCACATATGTAATCAATAAAGTGCCTCTTCTATTTTAAAGACATATGGTAAAAAGCAGTCACAATGCCTGTAATACGGGGGGGGGGGGATAGATATAATACAGAACTTGAGTTACTTAAGAAGCCTCAAGTTTTAGCAAAGAAAATTCAAAATTCAACAGAACCCTTTGTTTTACCCTGGCATTACTTTCTGAATTTTCCTCCATATATTTAAGTGCTGTTTTATGTCAGCACTTAAATATTAATAACTGTATTACTTTATGTATATATCATTCTACCTCTCCTTCTCTATTGCTAATGATTAATACCTATATATATTATTCTACCCCTCCTTCTCTATTGCTAATGGTTGATATGTATCTTTCTTTTATTTATAGATTTAATATATTTAAGTGCTGTTTAGTACTATGATCACAAGGGTGCAAACAAGAAATTCATTTACCTCTTCCGTTGTGTGCATCCACTGTTTGGGGTTGTCTTCACTTGCAAGAAAAGCTATGAGATCTAGTGCAGTCAGTCTTGTTTGACGTCGTGACGCTACAAATATGAGGACAGGCTGAGCTGGTGAATGATAGCGAATGGCTCGGAATGCTGGTTTATTCATTGTGAACATTCTTGGACAATAGTGTTTTCCTGGAAAGCCTGTGATGTGTACCTCTAAAGGAACAGGTCGAACGGAAGGACGGAAATTGTAGAGACCCATCTACGAAAAATAGGAAATATAATAATATGAACAGATAGCCCAAACAAATAAAGGGACAAAAATTGGTGGACTCGAGTTTAAGTGAAAAAAAATTTGAGAACAACTGTTTTACTTAATTTACCTTAATAACCAAATAATATTATATAATCTAATAACCTGAAAATTATGGGTATACGCCAAGAAAGTGGCTCTAAACCGATCAGCTAGGTTTTCCGATAGACAACTATATAACGCCACATTTAACCCTCTTTAAAAAGTTCAAAATATCAATTTCAGGTATCAAAATTTTTGGAAATCTTATGCTCAAAACGTTTATTACCATCATTAAATCATATTCTCAGTTTCCAACCTTCAAAAAGCCGAAAATCGTTGAAATTCTGAAATTCCTAAAGAAACCATTTTTAAATAAGTTAAAAACATCTATATGCAGATTCAACGCTGGAATTAAATTTTCTCTTCATTACAGTAAAATGAACGACATTGACCTGAGTCTAGTCAGACTAACTGCAATAAAAAAAAAAAATATTATTATTCATGGGTAAGGGGGTTGGTGTTGACAAAAAGAAATTTGACTTGTATGATTAAAAACTGGGCTGTGGCCACGTATTCTAATTGGCGGGCTCATTTATATATGTATTCAAAAATTTCAAAACATTCAGTAATGAAATTCATCAAATAAATTAAAACTAATATAAAAGGTAAGGTGTAAGGGATTCAGAAGTTAAGCACATTTAAAAATAGTGTAACGTGAAGCACCAAACACCCAGTCACTGCTCTGGAGCAGAGCCGTATTTACATATGGGGCACTGGGGCACTTGCCCATAGCGGCAAATTTTGAGGGGCGGCAAATTTTGGCACTGGATTAATTGAAAGTTAAAGCGAGAAAAAAGGAAAAAATGGAGACAGTGACGGAGCGAAGTGAAAATATGAGCGGCAAAATGTATGAAGGAAGAAAGTTGACGCTTGACGGGAGCGGCAAAGCTGCCGCCCCTTAGGTCCGGCCTTGAGCGCTACGATGATCGTTCGTTGGAGTGATACTAAACAACACGGCAATTTTAAACATCGAGGCAGACTTGATCATCAATTTAGACGTTGATGCTCTGGTTGACAGCTTTGCTAAACTGAAAACCCGGAGAAAAACTGTTTAACATGATCTTCCGAAAATACATTGAAACTAATACATTGAACTACACTAGCTTCAACTTTGTCTCCACATTTTATTTTTGTCTCATCCATCCATTCCATTTTACATATTCGCGGCGCATTTTGAAGCAGCTACGCGCACGCGCCCAGGCGGCGCACGAGGGGGGGGGGCAAGATGAGATGGCGTGGGAAGTTTGGAGTGCGGAGAGGGGGAGGGGGAGGAGGGGATACTGTTGACAATATAGTGGCGAGATATTGCAGACCCAGGGGCGGCAAAATGTAGCTTGCCCAGGGGCGGCAAAAAGCTAAATCCGGCCCTGCTCTGGAGCCATCTGATGATATCACAGGTGTGTAGGATTACAGCTTTTTGACTAGAAGTGTGCATGTTTTCAAAGAAGAAAAAATGCTTCAGACGTTTCAAGAAAGAATGAGAAAGGATATCCACAACTGAAATTATAAACGGTATTTTAATTGTTTCTTTAGGATTCCACAGTCGGTTTACTTCAGGTGCCAAGAGTTGCCAACTTTTTCATCCTCTCACAATTTTTAACATACAGGGTGTTCCTAAGTCCAGCCCCCCCCCCCCTCTCTAACTTATGAACGGTTCGAGATAGAGGAATGAAACTTTGGTAATGTTCCTATCTCAAAGGGGACCATCTTTTGGGGTGAACAAAATTTTGGCCCCTCCCCCCCCTGTCTTGTGATACCACATTCGAAAGAGCATAAAAAACTAAGAATTTTGGCGGAAACCGCAGATCAATATCTTAATTTTTTACCGAGTTATGATAGGTCAAAGGTCAAAGACATATTTTCAAAAAATTATAACTCCGGTTCAAATTATCGTAAAAACAAATAAAACGGGAAAATTTACCAAATCGTGTTTGCTTGTAAGTAAAAATTGCAGAAATCACTTCGAAATAATTTTCAGGGGGGAGGGGTAGGGTGCGTCAAAAAAAAATGAAAGTCTAAAATGTTCCGCTCCCCAGGCGGCAATCAATGACGTTTGGTAAAAAAAACATGTTTGCCAAAATTTGAGCCAATTTCAACCATTTTAAAGGGTGCCAAAGGTCGATTTTGTAATGAAATTATGATATTTAGGTTTAGACCTCGGTTTCGTACAAAAAAACTCGATTTTACGCTGAAATCGTGCGTTTACGAGAAAAATGCCAAAGAACTCAAGTTGTAGAAGATGAAATTTTACTCTCGGAAGACGTCTTTGTAAACGATGAAAATCAAGTTGAACTAGAAAAACTCACCTCGGTATTTATTTTTTTGGCCCTCAGAATTACCGAGGTCTTACAAAGTAGAGGTTTAAAAGACTCATTTTTCACGAAAATAAGTCGAAAGAGGGTATAAATTAACTGAAGGCAAGTTTTGAGGATACAAATGTCGTCAGAACTTCCTCAGTTTTAAAAAAAGTTCCAACTATTTTGCAAGATCCTCCAAAATGTGTACGGTCCGAGGAGCAGGATCGTGCTATAATAGTAAGGGAGAAGTGCGGTTTGACCGGGAAAAATTGCGTAAAAAACTTCTCCTAGGTAATCGTCATCAGTAAGTCCCTCTGAATAACTTCCTAAAAGTTAAAAATGGTCCGACCCCGGAACACCCCTCAAAGTACTTAAAATCGAAAATGGCGGCCGTAATAAGGGGGTCCAGGAAATCGGTATTTTAAAATGCTCGTTCCGTCTCATGTGAGGTATCATTTCCTATGTAATTTTGGTCGTAGATTTCATAAAGGAACTCTTCAAGGCCTCCCAGTCAAAGGGGGCGCTCCAAATCATAATGGCGGCCGAATGTGAAAGGCAGGAGGTTGCATTTTTTCAAATATTCACTGAAGGAACAATCCAAGCGGGAGGGGTGTAGACGTGAAGACCCTATAAAGTTCTCATAACCTGAAGTTACATTTTGATGTCACATGTGTTTTGAGAAGAAAAGAGCCTCCCAAAATAAAGGCTGATTTTTGCCCCTTTTTTGGTATTTGATTCGACCATAAGGACCAAGGTTTAAATGGAAGCTTAAAATTACAGAAAACTCAGGAAAAAATTTCAAGATGAGTATAGGGACTGTTTTCGAGTTACGGGTGGGGGGGCAAAGGAGTCAAAATCTGGCCTCATTTTCCCCTGTTTTCTTGTTGAATTGATGTGTCTACAGGGTTGTTGTTGTTTACATTTGGTAAACACACCGACTCCCACATATTTTTTCTTGTAAAGTCGATTTTCAACGTTGGCGAGTCGATGTATTCATCGCTTACATCAAATTTTGGCGATTTTTGAGGAAAATCGACTATATTTTGGTACTGAAATTGGTTATTCACCATCCGAGATCAAAGAAATGAACCCGATGCGATTGAAGCACACTGATTTCTACGTATTTTCACACGTGTAATCGATTTTTAACGTTAACGATTCAATATATCGATTGGTTCGATCAATTTCTAGCGATTTTCTAAGGAAAATCGATGAATTTTCACAATTGAAATTGGAGAAATCCACCACACATAACTGAAGCACATCGAGCCCTTCGCGATTATTCTCCTAAAATCAATTTTCGAGGTCAATGAATTGATATATTGATCGGTCGTATTGATTTCTTCCAATTTTTATGGAAAGTCGATGATTTTAATCGGGAATGGAATGGCTTCCTCTCGGTCCAAGGTCTGAGAAGTGTATCCGAGATCAAAGAAATGAACTATGCTACTGTGTTAAGGCCTAGATACACACGGCGATTAATCGCCGCGATTGCAATCGCGGCGTTTAAACGCAGGTGTATTCGGTCAATCGCCGCGACGGGTGAGTGAAATTCTCGGAATTTCTCCAATCGCCGCAATTGAATTCAAAGTAGGATTCAATCCTACTTTTTGGGCGAGTAGATGCATTTGTTGAGTCCTGTTTATTCTTGATGGATGCGAAATCCACCAGTACATGTGGTCTACATGTGTTTTTGTTTACGTTCTTCTGTCTTCGTGGTTCTCGCACAGAGTTGCTATAAGAAATTTCATCGAATGAAATTTCGTGAAATTTCTTTTTTCCCCATGAAATTTCTTTCGACCGACAAAATGTCAAAAATGCTTGTTTTTTCAAACAGAATTTGTTTTTATTTTTAAAGAGAATAGTATTCGTCAATTAGACCAATTGGAGCTACTTATTTATCGAATATTTCCTATTTAAAAAAAGAAATACGTTAGCGAAGGAAACTGTTAGTTTCTGAAAAATCATTTAAATTGTTTCAAGGATAGTTTAAGATCCCTCCCTCGCTTTTGTACCAAAAAAGGATAGACTATTAGGGGGAACTAGGATTCTTTATAGTTGAGAACTTTGTTATGTTCCAAATATGAAAGCTAACGTCTTACTTTATCCGTAAAATTTATTTTGGTGTTCAACCGGTACGGCTGTGTGTTTAACCAAGATTTGAGAAAAAAATTCAAAATTATGTTTTTGCTGTTTTACTCAACTTTCTGGGCATTTCTAAAGTTCCCTTTCACAGTTTACCACGTGTGTATAAAGGGAATTAAGGAGATTCATAAGTTTCTAGGGTTTAATCCTGCATTCTGAGTGTTATATGAAATTTCTGGAAATTTCTGGAAATTTCCTCATGAAATTTCTTTTTATAATTTTTCATTTTTGTAAAGATGTAGCAATTTCTATTGCTCTCAGGAAGAAAATTAAGAATATCAGAGATACCATATGCTGCAGAAGTAAGGGAAGTCAAGAAAGGTTGTAATAACATAAACAATCAGCGCTGATCGCGGCGATTAATCGCTAGGTGTATACGTAATCGCACTGATGGTCTCTGTTGATTGTATTGCGTTGAGCCATGCGACCCGAACCAACCCAATCGCGGCGATTAATCGTCGTGTG